TAAATATATTTGTTATATATATTTATATATCTTTTATTTGGGTGTGTAGCATTTTTCAATTTTAACTTATAAAGAATAATTTAGCCGTTTCGAGATATCAAATGGTCATTTGATAGAAAATTGTTTGTATTCGTATCATTTTTTTGTCTATATTTTTAAAGGGTACAAAATTATATACAACATTCTTTAATTTTTAACTACTTATTTATAAAGAATAACTTAATATTTTTTTTAGGTTAAAAATTAAATAAAAAACAGACTTTAATAGGGAATTATTTGCAACAGTCTGCAGTTAGAGAGATAAGGGATATAAGAGATAGATGCGTCGATAGCTGCATTCAAACAACAACATTCGATGGGGAATTGCAACTATTTTTTTTTGTACCTCAAAGGATACAAAGATTACAAAAGTACAGGCAATTTATTTACAACACTGTAGTTAGGAAGATAAGGGATATGAGAGATATAAGGAATAACACATAGTAATTTCTTCAACAGAAAATTACATCTGTTGGTATTTCATTTGTACTTCAAATGATACAGAAGTACAGTATTATTTATAATGGAGAACTTGACAGTTTCTTAAGATATCGTCAGCTGTATTCTGCCAACAATATTCGGACAGAGAATTGTCGCTTTTGATTTTGTTTTAAAGAATATAAAATTATATAACATTTTGTAATTTTTAAATATCTTTTATAAGAAGATATTTTACGTAACGTAATTTACGGCCGTTTTTAGACATCTTAAAACGGAATTTAAGCGAGAATCCATAGACATAGTATATCTAAACCGAGTATTTGCTTCAATTTAAAGACTAAGGGTATAGGTGCACGTAGAAAAGGACACATTCTGTTTCGTGCCCCTTGCGTTCTTTCTCATTCGAACGAGAATATACTCGAACGCATGTACAGCATGAGCGACAAAAGGGGCTCCACGTGTACCTTTACCCTTATCCCTTAAACTTGGTGTAGATATATTATTTTATTATGTCTATGGTTATATTAAAAATTTTTGAATGCTGTTTTCAAATTCTTTAAGAAAACGAAATAAAAAGTGAATGCCTAGAATATGAGAACTGTTACAATACGAGAACCGTTTTAAAATAAATATAATTCTTGAAAATCGACTAGCGTTTCACTTCGATATCTATAGATATCGAGATACGATTGTCTTTATTTTAGTTTTATGAATATTTTTTCTTGACTTCTTGAAATTCATGTAAAACTAAGAATAATTGAAACTAAGGAAAATGCCGTAGGACAAAGTGAGATGCTCCGTGAAGTTGACGTATAAGTTTGTATTAAGGCACTTTTGTAGCTTTAATAATCGTAATTATTTATTTAAAACATCAAGAATTTTAAAACTATTAAAAATAAAACCAGAACTCAATTATTTGAATTCCATGAAATAAAACACCAGCTTCACACACATTGTAATGCATGACCATATTAAATTAAATCATGTAAAAACAAAATATTGAAATAAAAAATATTAAAATAAAAGAATCGAATAAAAATTATGCAATCTATAAAGTCGACGTAACATTATTCGAAAAGAAAGTACTAGACAAAAACTGAAATCTAAATAGAAAAACCATAAATATCATAGAAAATAAGAAAATTGCAGAAATCGTAACCATACGAAATTAGATAATATAAAAACCATTAAATATTGAAATAAAAGAATCAAATGTGAAAATTGTGCAGTCTTTCGGATCTCTATTAAGCTAGCAGAACCAAATCGGTAGAATTCATCGGGACATATCAGAATATTTAGTACCCAACTTGTACTAATTTGTACTATTAATAAAAATTTTGTACTACGTCCCATTTCCAAAAACACAGTAGCGCTGCTACCTTCAAATAAGCTAGCAGGGCCATAATAAAAAAAAAGAAAAATAAAAATCAATAGCAGAAATAGAAAGTACTGAATTTGTACTAATTTGTATCATAGAAAATGATAAAAATATATCGCAAATCAGCTCTGAGAATTAAGGTAGGGGGTAGAGGATATTTCTCAAAATTGCGTAAGAGATAATTATTGGGAAGTTATCAGATTCAGAATTGGATTTAAAAAAGAATTTTATATATATATTTTAGAAAAAGGAAATTTAGGATTAACGCAAATAAAATAATGAAAAATAATGGCAATAATGTATAAAAGTTTATTAATCAATGGATAATATTAATTCCCAAAAAGACCAGTCCCGGGATAAAATACAACTTTTATGTATTATATACATATTGAGAAGCCTACTTATTTGAACGTTTAACCTTTAAATAAAATGAAAAATATTTAAACAAGTTTAAGTAAGTATTTAAATAAGTAGGCTTCTCAATAACGAAGGTGTTACGACAATCTTAGACGCCCCTAATTTGCAAAACTGCAAAAATAATTATAAAATTTTGCGTCCTACGCTGGAGCGTATATTGCATACCTCCTTGTAACGCCTCCGCTCAATAAAAAAGTAAAATAAAATAAAGCTCCACATAATCTGGGGAGACCAGCCCTGGGATATGATGAAAGTACGCTGTGAAAAGTCGCAATCGCGATGTCCAAAGCTTGGGAAGGAGGAGTGAATATGAATAAGCTTCCGAAGAGAAGAGAGCAATTACGAATGAAATATCCGATACTAAACATGCGCAAGAACATTTTCTCATTATCGATAGTTCCCGGTAGTCTATTTCGCCCGTAAGCAGTGAACGAGTGTCACTTTGTCGCATGCGTAAACGTTAATGTTTTTGAGACGGATTGTTACCGCTGCCTTGTAACATATATTTTTTTACGCTCATTAACGTTCACGCATGCGACATATATATATATATAAATAGAGACCATAGATATATATCATAGAACAGAATCGAAAAACGGGAAACCATAAACCATAGACAGGATTGGACAGATATGTATCTTAAAGTATTTAATTTAAATATGTATCTTTACAAAATTATTATTATTATAAATTAAAGTTCAAACATTTTACAAAAATGTCAAACTTTTAGACAAATTTGACTTGTCTATAGTTTATAATCTTTGATCTAACCGAGACAACTATATACCAGAGAGAAAAAACCTAAGACCACAGACCATTTAACAGAAATTGGAATTTAGAAAATTAACAGTTTTTAGAGACCATAGATCATCATCTTGAATCGATATATTCTACCTCTGTGAAGTTGACACCCCATTTTTAAAAAAAACCAATTTTTTTCTTCAAGTTCTGAGTGCACCCCGAAGAGTTCTGGAGTTCCTTATCAATTTTAAAAATAGTTTCGGCCGAATCGATATAGTTCTTATCAGTGCAGAGGAGTTTAGAAGCAAATAATATCGATCGAAGAACTCAGCACATACTTTTCGAGTCATCGCTCAACCTTTATCCTGTGCCGTGATGGCCTTTTTTTCTCGCAAATTGATCTGGTATCTACTAATTGCCAGTCAAGTCGACCTCGATCGACTATCCAATATATGAAACGCGGAAAAAGGAAGACGATAAGGACAAGTGGACGAATATATGTCGAACGAAAAACGATTATATGATATATGTATTATATATATGTATATTGTATATAATACATAAATTATAGAAAATCAGTTTAAAAAATTTAATGATTTTTTAAATGATTTAAGATTGCAATATAAATCAATTAATAAATTTGGAAGACAGTTTCTGAAAACCGATGTGTGTCTACTAGATCGTAGATCAGAGACGAAAAACGAGACCATAAATCATACACCAAAGACCTGAGAGCATAGATCAGAAACCAGAAATAATCAAAACCAAAACAAAATAATCAAATTTTAATTTATAAGAATGCATATCTCAATCTTTCTCGACAAGGTTTAGATAATTGACACAATTAAATAAATAAAAAATTAAGGTCAAGGGGAGTTAATTGAAATCACATTAAGCAGATCTAGACCTAATGATATCTTGATTATTAATTGACAGCAATCTAATGAAGGTATTTGCTCAACAGACACAGATAGCAGCATGGTAGAATCACGATAAAATATAGATACTATATTGAACAAATACCTTCGTTAGATTGCCGTCAATTAATAATCAAGATATCATTAGGTCTAGGTTTGCGATTTTAATTAAATCTCCTTGACCTTAATTTTTTATTTATTTCATTGTGTCAATCATCTACTAACAATAAGCCTTGTTGAGAAAGATTGAAATACGCATTCTTTAATAATTTAAAGTTTGATTTTGTTTAAAACAATGAACATAAATAATAAATTATTAATTAATAAATCATATAATAAATAATGAAAAATTAGTTTAAAAAATTTAATGATTTCTTGAATTAAAAAACTCAGGACATTTAAGATAGTGTAACATGATTTTAAGACCTATTTAAAAACCTTATGAGAAATCATTAAATTTCTTTAACTAATTTTCTATTATTTATTTTTGAAAAGAAAAAAATATTTTTAAAAATAAAAAAAATATTACTTAAGTTAAAATAAAGACAACTAAATGTGTATAAAACTAGCATATTATTTCGTGGAAAATCATAAATATTTCAGAGTTCTTTATTTTCAATAGCTTTAGAGTTCTTGATAATTTAAATAATTTTTTAAAAATATTCTAATTATTATCATGATAATTTTTTTAAAAGGCATTGTGTATATGCTCAGAACTATACCAGAATTATTTCGTAATAAGTAAAATTCTTGAAAACCGAGCATCGTTTTACTTCGACGTATTCAAATAAGAAATTTGCCAGTGTTTATTTCGTTTTAATTTAATTTTTTTATTTTTAAAAGGCTGAGAACTCTTCTTAAAACTCTTGTAGAAACTATAAATCTTCGAAATTTGAACTAAGACATTTTTGTTGCTTTAATAAAGAACTATTTGTTTAAACTGTCAAGAATTTCAGAACTATAGAAAATAAAGCCAGAACTATTAATTATTTATAAATTTTCACGAAATTTATCCAGCTTCGCACACACAGCTGTCTAAGCTTCATGTCAAATTGCGTCGGTTTCAGATCGAAACGACGGTGGTAGCTGCTACCAGCCCGCTTTCCTGGCACATCCCAAGGCCGTCTTTGGTCGGGCGCAGCGAGAGGGACAGCGAAAATGGAAGCTGGGCTCATCACTTACATCCGAACTCCCCCTCGAGAGGGTCGACGTCATCTCAAGGATCAACAGCCAGCACACACGTAAATTTCAACAGCCAGCACACACGAAGGCGACATCTTGGAAAGTTCACAATTCCCTCTTGTTTTTATATATAATAATATATATAAATATATAAATATATAAATATATATATATATATATATAATATAAATATATAATATATTATTATATATAAAAAACAAGAGGGAATTGTCGAACTTTTCAAGATAATAATCGAATATTGTTTTAGAGCGCCGCGTCTGGAACGTTGCTACTCACAGCCGCAAATCTGGCAAATCTCGCCGCCATACATCCGCCCACGGTGACAGCACCAAAACAGATTGACACCGCCTCGGTGGCCAGCAGCACTCATTTACGGTCGTGAATGGTCTCGGCAGACCGACCATCGTTTACAGGAAGTCCTGGTGCGCGCGAAACCAACTCACCGTGCTCGTGTGCACCATGAGCTTTCTATTCATGGTCGGTCTGCTTGCGGGGATTCTTTACATGGAAAGTAAGTACTCTCGCAGCAGTTACAGCCGCGAATTCCTATTGCAACATCCACCGCGTGTTTCGACATCGCGTGCGATCTCTGTGGATTCACCATCTACAAAACCTTCTCACCGGTATTTACCTCTGATTGCAGTGAGGGCTCGCGACAAGTACAACTAGGCCGAGGGTGACGAGAGGAAGAAGCAACGAAGACGATACGTGACCGTGAATGATGATCATCTTGATAGAAAAAGGCAGCAAAGAAACAGAGCTGGCGAAGAACGCGATGGAGAGAATGAAATCGAGAATATCGTTTTCAAAGAACCGAGAAAGAGAATGCGCGCTTGATCAGTTCACGATATTAATTTCAATTACTCGTATTTATATGTATATTTTCGCTGTATTAGACCTTCCTCAGTTCTCAACCGATTTATCGTTCATTGTAAATCGCGTCGGTATCTATCGAGAGCTGAAGAAGAGAGATCCCTTTTCGCGTCTGTGATATTGTATGCGTATTGATTAATCGTCGATTCAACAAGAAACTGTCAAATATATGTACTTTTCAAAATATTCGTATGTTTCTTTCAATCCTCTTTTTCAGATAAAAAGGATCTTTCAATGCCACATGTGTAATTCGCAATGATAAAAAAGAATACACTTACTTCTACTTCTCCAAGAGTTTGTGTCCATCTATAATTCGGCATGTCTGCGCCATTACCGCTGTTAGGTTTCAGCTTATTTTTTTCTTTTTCATCTTCTTCTTCCTCATCCGCATTGTCGTCCTTGGAATCATCATTCTTGTCCTCGATATTTTTAGAATGTTCACTATGATCACCACTAGGACCCGCATCAGCAATGTCCTTTGCTAATTTCTATATGAACAAAAATTTTCATTAATTTCAAATAAAATTAAAAACCAAGGTTTATCACATTAGTAATTAATAAAATAAATCAGTATAAGGCTATAAAGGACTAGCACAATAAGTAGGGTGCAAACAATATTTGTCATTGATGTAAATTAAAATTCAAAAAATATATTTCAAACAAAGTACTTTATGTAAAATATTTAATGTTTAAAATATATATTTTGAATTTAAATCAATGACAAATATTGTTTGCACCCTACCTACTGCACTGGTCTTTTATAATCTTATTACTATTTATTGATTCATTATTAATTTCTAATAAATCATAATAAATAGGGTGCAAAGAATATTTGTCGTTGATGTAAATTAAAATTTAAAAATCATATTTCAAATATTGAAGTATTTTATGTAAAATATTTTAATGTTTGAAATATATATTTTGAATTTAAATCAATGACAAATATTGTTTGCACCCTACCCACTGCACTAGTCTTTTATAATCTTATTACTATTTATTGATTCATTATTAATTTCTAATAAATCATAATAAATAGGGTGCAAAGAATATTTGTCGTTGATGTAAATTAAAATTTAAAAAATATATTTCAAATATTGAAGTATTTTATGTAAACTATTTTAATGTTTGAAATATATATTTTGAATTTAAATCAATGACAAATATTGTTTGCACCCTACCTACTGCACTAGTCTTTTATAATCTTATTACTATTTTATTGATTTATTAAAAATTTCTAATAAATAACTTTTTATCAAGAAATATAAAATAAGCAGTTTTCTAAAATATATACCTTATTATCTATTTCCTCTTGTAACTTAACAGCTTGTTCATCCGTTAATTCGACTATTCTAGAATCATTATTTAGCTTTTCTTCTTCAGCTTGCTCTTCTTTTCTTTTCTTCTCGAGTTTCTCTTTACGTCGTTTTTCTTGTTCAATTCTTTCCGCTTTATCAGAAGCAGCTTTGGCTAACGCATTAGCTTCATGCTTCTTAAATTTGCTCATAACAAGCTGCACATAAAGAAACAATTATATTAGTTAGACAAAAAGCTTCTAAAATAATCTAACAACTAATCTAGTATATAACTCATGTGTAGACAAATATAAACAACTTACTTGTTCAGCTGCTCCTTCACCGCCTCCGGTATAAAAATCTGTTTTTCTCTCGCCAGGAAACTGAAGAAGGTATCTAGTAACTAAATAAATAAATTCAACGTGAAATACATCTTATCCTTCGAGTTAACCTCAAATCAGAGAAAATGAAACTTACGTCTTTCACACCGCCTTCGTGTTGTTGCGCCAACGCCAACCATTCCATCGAATTGCTCTTCTTTTTTCGTCATTTCCTGAATGTCCGTAAATTGACTGTCCGCTTTCTAAAAAAAAAGGCCACAGTAATTCGTTTTCTGTTGCTCGTTTATAACGAAGCTTGTTGCTACACGCACGTTTCTACGAAACATCTCGAATTATCGACTAAACCTAACTTGATCAACATCAAAATAACGCTCTCTGACAGAGAAACTCTACACGAGGAAACCTCTCGACATTATCGATCGAAGGAATCTAACCACCTGAGCGATAAAACAGAGCGAAGCTAAAGTCAAGTAGGTAATTATCGACTGCTCAAGAAATTTTTTATAAATTCGTTTTTTTTATAAATTTATATAATTAATAATTTATATAATAAATTTATATAATTTTTTTAAATTTTTAAATAAAAAAAGAAACACATAAGAATATTTGTGCGAGACCAATATAAATTGTTCAACGTTCAGTGTTCGAGTTTACTTTATTTTTATATTAAATCGAGAATGTTTTATATTATTTATATTATTTCTTAAATAAATTGTATGTGACAATTAAAATACAAATAATATTTCTTTTCTTATTATATAATGTAAATTTGACATTATGTAGATACAACGATAAATACCTATAAATACCTATTCTAACTAAAAGAAATTTGATTCTAAATTGTTTTTTGTCTCACGATTATAGTGTATTAAAAAAAAACATTTACATTTACCTTTATGCCTAGGTTATAAATTACATGTGCTTTGAAGATTTTTTTTCAATCGTGTATACAAAAGCCAACGCATGGCTTTCAATAAAACGGAAAGATTTGTAAAACGAACGATGTCGACTTCTGCTCGAATAGGTCCAGGGATTTACGACATATCGGATCCATCAAAGCCAACTCGAGATCCAGGTAACTTATAATGTACAATAATCTTGAATTTTTCCGTGAAATTTGCATTCGCTCGCGTTCTATATGCTTTTACATTATGCGACTGTGTGTTCTATAGACAACGCTTATCCATTTTTGAGCGGAGCGAGCAGGCAGACACTCAGCATACCAAAAGACGCGCATAAGTTTCCAGGTCCTGGCTGTTACAATATAGAGGCATTACGGAAACATATACCAGCACGTGCATTTTCTCTATTCCTGCCTCATTTATTTGCAATTTTTCTAGGTTCAATATCGGCATGTGTATATATATATATGTACATTCGACATTTTATGAGATTTAATAAATTACAGGGTGGCGTCAGTATCGATTACATCGATGTTAGATTTAAAGAAAGGTGTATGAAGGTCCAAGTCCAACAGAGTACATTTTATCAGATGATTTGTTTTAAGAAAACATGTCAAAAAATAAGATCTCATCTGTGCACTTGGCGTGGTCCCGCAGGCAAAGTATAAAATATATTTTGTATTTAGACATTCCTCAAAATAATTAAAAGATGTCAAAAAAATAGCCAAACTGTAAATTTCTGTAACTTTGTTTTGAAAAATGAGAATTTAAATTTTAAGGGTTTAAAGCTTGAAATCTCTACTTTTGAAAGATCACAGCTTTTTTCATTTGCTTCAATTCTGATATTTTTTTACATACATAATTGACGAACATAACGAAATTAAAAATTTCTTCTCACAAGTAGAGTTTCATCTCAAAAATAGAGATTTCAAGCTTTAAAACCTTCTTAAAAATTCTTATTTTTCAAAACAAAGTTACGGCTGTTTAAAAGTTGCATATTTTTTGGACAATTTTATTATTCCTTAATTATTTTGAGGAGTGTAAAAATTCAATAAATTTTCTCATTTCCAATATGTGACAGTAGTATATAAATGTATTATAGAATATATTATACGTAGATATACGTAATAATATACGTATCAGTATATATTTTCCAATATTTAACATGTGGGAGCATTTAATATAATTTTTTTATACATAGAGAAGATTATTTTTATTTATTAATCAGTCAATCAGTTCGTATTAAAATTATTAATATTGTATAATGCTGTATCACATAAGTTTTACAAGATATATAATTAATTAGTTATTCTTGCTTAAAAAATATATTTTTTTATATGTATAAATGACTGTATATGCTCAGTTTCATGTATTATACAATTAAATATTTTTATATTTGTAATATATTCCTCTTATTTATTTGTCATATTTATAGCTATGGCTGTTCGTCCCCCGCGGATGTTTATGTATACAACAGGTCTATTTATTCCTTCGAAACGTGATGACTACGATGAACGCGGAGTGTTTATGAAAAATTCGGTCATCAAGCATAAACCAACCGATTTTTATGATGTTCCTCGAGGGGTATGAAAATGTTGTGCCTTCTGTTTTATAAAAGATCTTGCGAACGATTATTTATACTGTAGGAGACAAACTTTACTACTCTGAAATACAAAGGAAACTTTTGGAGCAGAATGAAGGGTAGAGATGACGAACGGACTTCCGTGACACCGGGTCCTGGGGACTATGAGCATGAGACAAAGAAAAGTCCCGCCCAAATCCACAACGAGAGAACTAGGGAAGCGAAAAGAGCCGCCGCTAAGCAGCCACGTTTCTTGGAAGCTTTGTACCAACAAAAATTACGCGAAGTAATTTTAAGAACATGCTTTGTAACTTTCGCGCAGTCGCCGGTTCTTTCGCGAAAACTTCGAGCCGGGAAACTGCCTTTATACTTGTGAATCGTCTCATGAAAATCTGCTTTTCCATAAAGAACTTTCCGGCTCCCAATCATTACGACTTATCGAAAAGCGTGTTTGATAAATAACAAAAGTATTCCATGTAAGTGTGACCGATATATGAAAAAGCCTCTACCTTTCAACCAAACAGCAAAGGTTCATTTTTATTATTTCTTCTCATGTGTATGTTTTTCCGATAATAATTATAGAAAAATGACTTATTTCTTTATTTTAGAGATTCGAAAAAATTTGGAAACGAATACACCTGGACCTGGAGAATACGAAGTCGCAACTCCACTTTGTTACGGTTCTATTTTACATGCATTTTTTGGTACATTCAGCGCTCGTTTTAAGAGAATCATTGATATACCAACGCCAGGTATATATTATGTAAATAAGTGTTAATGCTCATGCATCAGATTTATAATAAACTGCATAATTTTGCATTGTAGGACCTACAGATTATCACACGGAAGTCGGAAATTTAAGTTTTGAGTCTGTAAAGCGTTTTAAAAATCAGTATGAAGAAATGTTCGATTACTTAAAGTTTTATAAAACACTGACATCGTTAAGCAGTGATAATAAACGTACGTTACCGATAAATTCAAAGTAGCAGATGAAGAAAAATGTTCAATATATCAGTCTTTAAATCAAAAGTGGAGAGATTTCCAAAAATTCGCAAAAATGTGAGTATATTATAAAAAATTTATATATATATATATATATATATATATTATTTTGTTTAATCTAACTGAATATAATTACGCACGCAAAGCGAAGTTGTATTATTCTTTGATAATAAAATCTCTCTCTTGATAATAAAATTATGCAATGCATAAAAATTCAATATTTAAATCTTTTACAAAAAATACAAACGAGAAATAAAATTTTCTACAAGAATCTTTTGTGATTAAATATCTACGCATTTATTAGACTCGCGCGAGATTCTACACCCCATACGTCTATCATGCTGCGCGGCTTGCGCGAGACTGATTTTCATACGGTGTATCGCAAGCGCGGGCCCGATGGTCACATGACCAGTAGTCACATGACCGGTGGTCACGTGACCACTGGTCATGTGACTATCGGGCCCGCGCTCGCGATACCCCGCATGAGAATCAGTTTCGCGCGAACCGCGCAATGTAATGATGTATGGGATGTATTAATCTGATGGAAAGGATAGAAAGAGAGAGTTGCTTTCATCGCGCAGCATGCAGAGTCGTGCAGTGTAGCGAACGCGTACAGATGTGCGAATCTAATAAAAGCGCAGATATTTTAATCAAAAGATTCTTGTAGAAAATTATATTTTTTGTTTTCTGTTAAAAATGTATATATTGAATTTTTAAGAATTACGTAATTAATAAAATATTTTTATGCATGCATTGCAATAATAATTTTATACATACGTTACAATTTTTAAGGTTTTATTATTAAAAATAATATAACTTTACTTCGCGCATGTAATTATATTCGAGGTAAACTAAACAAAATGAAAAAAATATATGTATTATTATGTATTTATATATTAAATTAAATTATTATTTTATTAAATAGAAACTACTTTTGTATATTTTATACATAACGCACTTGATTTAATACAAATGAAAATTCTGAAAACTATAGAAAATTTATAAAACATATATCAGCAATAATTTGCATAAATTGATAAGATTGATTTGAGTAGCTATAAAAACATAAATAACTCGTTTTTTTTTAAACTATCCAATATTTTCACAATAATCCAATAATATCCAAAATTTTCAATTATTAAAAAATTCTGCTTTTTTGTATGAACAAATTTATATTGAAACTATTTATTCATAAAAAGTAAGAGATCAATTATTTTTATGTTTATATTATATATTCAATGGATTATTGTAAAACAAAATAATGGTGAGCGCTGCTATATATACATAGAGCAATCGAAATTACTTGCGTAACGCTAACAAGACAGCGAGAACTCGGGCTAGTAGTCACGATAAGTCTGTGGTCGGACGTCCGAAGATTCTTTCGGCTCGCTCAGGAATCTGTGGGCTCGGTGGACTCGAGTAATCTTGGAAACGCAAGGTAATCAGGAGACCCGGAGACGAAATTAATGGCAGTGGATCGGACCGATGCATCTGTACCCGGGGCGATTCGGGGCTAGGATCCAATCTGGCCGTTAATCGAGAGCGTTGGGACGAGATTCGATGCCACAACCGGTAGATAGACCAGGATAGAACCGTCAGTACTGAACGACTTGCTGCTGATTCCGCTTGTGTTCGATGAGTTCGTGTAGGTTCGATTAGCTGACGTCTCACTTAAACAATTGAAACGGTGCAAAATTGTAAACGCAGTTTAATGCGGCTACATGTATCGCGTTGGTAAACTAACTCGTTTATTGAATAGTCGTGTTAATTCTTATTTTGTTTATTGACTAGTCGAGTTATTTCTTTGTTGAATAATTAAATCATTTTGTGATTATGTGTTAAACTGTGAGTGGACAACGATGAGCATCTTTCTTTTTGTTGGACCTGTCAACAGTGGCGTATCCGAGAAAGCTGTATTTGCATAACGTAGGAAAGGAAAGAGTAGTGACTGTACGCCGGAAATGACATTTTGCTGTGCTCTGCAGGTCATTTCCACGTAGAGGCGCGTGGCCAGAGAAATCACTTCCGGCTCGCTGAGCCGGAAATTCGAGCCAATCCCTGCTTGGTGTCTCTGTCTCTGTAATGCGAATTGCGGATTTGCCGGAAACATCGGCGCTTAGATTTGTGTCGAATCGGCGTCCACCCTAAATGATTAAACTATGAAGGAAAGCGGGGTTTCCCCTTTTATATTATTTTACTAATTTTATCAGACAGGATTAAAACATATCTAGGATCATAAAAATTTGAATTTTCTATCTTAAGACTCGTAAAAATAATTATAATGTAAAAAATTGTATATCAGTAGGTATTAATTTTCTATGGATTAACTCGTTTAATTTTCATAGGATGACGTACCGGATCCGGGTGCTTACGAAGTTTTATCAGCCTTCAAGGCTAATCGTGATAGATGCGATTTCCTTTGCCAACGATTAATTCCACCCTTCGGATCACGCGCCTGTCGGTTTTTGATGACATTAAAAGGCGATTTCTATGTACCAGGTATAAAGTAAAGTGAATAAAATAAAAAAATTATCAGGGAACCTTTTTCATTTTATTATGCCTGTATAGGTCTAGCGTATTATAATCTCAGCGGAGATATATCAAAGAAAGTAAAGAATGGCGTGATATGTTATGCACCTCGTGAAAGAAAGGAAGTTATCTAACAACCAGGACCATTGGATTATCATGTAAGCTTTGTTTTACAATTTAATAAACAACAATCGACGATATATTTTATTAAATACTTGTTGTGTATCAATATATATTTTTTCTATTTCTATATAAATTTATAAAGAAAAAATATATATTGATGCACAAGTATTTAATAAAATATATCGTCGAATTATTTTTTAATATTCTTTATAAGTACTTGTATATATAAGTACTTATAAAGAATATTAAGAAAAATAAAAAAATTATAAATTAATACATCACAAAGAATTATGCGATACACATTTGAACTTATATCATATCAGTATACTTATGAATATATGATTATCCTTTAATCACATATTTCTGATGGATTCTGCATTAGTTCAATCTCGAGAAATTACTTAATGATATACAAGTGATTGCCTTCCATCGGCTTCAGTCTTTAATCTTCCGACTCGTAAAAGCATTCGATAGTATTTACTTAGTTGTAACATGGCAGGATATTGCGTGCTCGCAGCATATGAGAGTAATACCGGATGCTTCAGATGGTGATGTATGAGGTACAGCTATGAGATGGCTGGCATCCTGCATTATTCTGTCTGTTGTATTTTTGCCATATCCGTGTGTAAAGTGTGTAAAGTGGCTTCATAAATCGCAGATATATAGGAAAAATGCAACTTCAGTATTATAAACATTATATGATTTCCAAAAATTATTTATGATTAAACATTAATTATTATTTAACGAAAATCCATTAAGTTTTTTTTTAATTTAATTAATTAATAATTTGCAACATACATAGATACATCCATACATTGCATCATCCGTTCTGAAGAAATCATTTAATGTTACTTTGGGTAAATCGAAAAACATGAAGACCCTTAATGAGATTCAAACTTCATGGCACCATCGACGATCGAAGAAAGTTCTCCGTTTTTTCGCTGCATCTTCGAAAAGATATCAACATTGTATCACTGTTTGATTTTGACTGATGTTAAATTAATTTATCTTATGCACTCTCTAAACATATTATTACAAATATAATTATTTAAAAAAATATATAAATTTAATCTTTTATAACATTTTTTCCAATATATCCTTTAGAATGATTTGTACTCGTACTTTTGACTTGTAATCGAATCGTTCTTACAGTTAATAAATTATTTAATTTTCTAGTACTGTCAGTTTCTGTAACGTTTATGGAAAATATACAAATATAAAAATTCCATAAATATTTAACAAGAAAAAAATATTTTAGTGCAATACATTTCTTTTCATACTTTTAGAGAAGATTGCAGCTAAGATCAATACTGCGAAAGTGGGAAATGGTCGATGGCAAAAGATGTTCACTGAACTGTAACAGTCAAATGTAATGACGCGTAAAGAAAGGCAAATGTTTTTCAAATATAAGATCATGCAACTGGAAAGACGGTCATACTTATTACCCATAATATTGAAGATAAAATGAAATTTAACGTTCTTTGATGTGTTATAATAAATCAGTATAATAATATCGGAGAGAAATAAACATATATTGCATATTGCTCTTCAATTGTTATAATTTTGAGTGTGTAATTATAAATTTTGTTAATGACATATTTCAAGAGTACTATATCATCTGGATAACAAGATAAATGTGATATTTGAATATCATTTCTCTTCAACTAAAGTAAAATACACAAATTTTCTTGCCAATAATAAATTTGCAGACAGTTTCCATTTCGGAGTAGCTACTTTAGCATACCAATGTGAGGGCGCATGGAATGTAACGGCGGATATGACGTGAATGAATATATAATAAAATTTTAATTAAAATTTTTAAAAAAGTTTAGTGTTTTCATTACTATGCTAAAAGTCAAATATAACTTTAGCGTTAGTCTGATAAACTGTAAATTTTTCGGATGAAATTAATGGCGAGACTTATAGCGATATTTATCATGCGTATAAAAAAGATAACAAGTCAGCGAGTAGTTTAAAAATAAATCAATAAATAGAATAACTATAAAATTTAGATACTTGGTTCCACATTTTTTAAAAATTTGTAATCTTGTAAACAAGTGCGATTTTATGTACATGCTATAAAATAATAGAAGATTATTATATATTTTATAACATATTTGCTAAAATTTTACCATTTTTATAGGTATATCGCTCTTTCTATATTCTCATTCTAGCTTTGCTTTTAGGTGAAATTTTGGGTTACCATAAACGAGGCGAATTTGATGGCGCACTCTGACCGCAGTACGCATATAGCGGCAATTAATCAATCTGGCATTGCAGATTATCTTTGCGGTCATTACATGCTATTAACGCACGCGAAAGTGTATAATATGTATAATGAAAATTTTCGCTAGTCACAAAATGGTACGCATTATCAACGTGTATAATAACGGCAAGATTTTTGCTATTCGAGCTGCTACTCGAGCATTCGAGTCGTAAACTTTTTTTATTCAAATATCTAAAAGTTTTTTTGCAATGTATCAAAAGTATGCTTTCTCGTAATCAGCGATAGGAAAAGTTGGGATATTTCAATTTTATACATGGATAAAATTATAAAATGACGATTCGCAAATTGATATTTACGGATAGAGAAAAAGCCTTCAATGATATAATAGCTGGCTCACCCATCCAATTTTCAGCAAAAGCGGCGACAATTCGAAACTGATGAGAAATCGAATAGACTTCAAAAGTCTCTTTCAAAAGGACTTTCTTTCGTTCGCAACTGCCTCATTTCACGGACAAAGAAGTGCAACTTATCAAAGATTTCACCTATTTTCCTCCGAAATTAATTTTTATAGAAAATTTAAAATTCACGCAGCAGAAGTATCAAAAGGCGAGAAGTACCTGTCAAACATTTATATTGCATTTCTTTCGGAAAACAAAAATATATGTATGTAGGATGCACGCGTATTAAAATAAAAAATTGTTTATTATTACAAAAAATAAGAAATCTATCATACGTAAAGATAATTTTTTTACATGATTTAATTGCAGATTACATAACGTCGACATTCGACAAATTATTAAAATGGTTGAATAACGATTACATATTACTCGATGTTTACATAATTGAAAACAGTTTTGCTGATATTGGGAAAGCTGCGAATAACGAAGAAATAGTGGATGAAAACAGAATAATTTACCTTCGACAGCACATATATTGCAAGTTATGAAAGTTATGCAAAAAGGTGTCAATATTCGATGTTATTTGATTTGCTCGTTAATCGTGAATTTTTCACGGTAAGCTAAATCTTTTATAATTAAATTACTGTATGTCATGTTTTCAAAAAGCTGCATTAGTATTAGAGAGATGAAAATATTGCATATTTTACAAATTATATTTTATAAATATCATAATATTTTATATGTATAATTATATATGTATGTATGTATAGGATGTTTATATTTATTTATAAACAAAATAATGGAATGCAAAACTGTTACAATATTTGGTCAATTTTTATATATTTTAGAGTAAAAGTAAAATTCAATTTCTATTATATATGAATTGATTTTAATGACAGTAACTTTATTACAACATCAAAGTTCTCATCAAAAATGATCGCTGAGATTTTTAAAACAAGTTATACATTCGACAATAGAACCAACAGAAATGACTTCTGTCATTATAGAAATAGAATAGAAATATAATATTAAGAAATATTATAATAATCCACAAGTAAAATAAACGTGTATGTAAAATAGACGCGCACAAATATAATGGCACACATAATTTAAAGAGGATTCATATACATATAATCCGCAAAAATCTAAATAATCTAAACAAAAATGTCACTTGTGTCATATTGTTAAAAGTCCAGTATTGCATAAAAACACATTGCGTAAACTTTTCTAAATCCACAATTATCGAATGGAGTTGACTGTGCGTTTCCTATGTCAGCGGCAGAGTGTGTGCATAAATCGATAAGTCTTTCCCCGACGTAATTCGCGTTATAACCGACGCTTTGTGCGCGATTAAAATGGCACTCACGCGAATTCAGGCAACGCCCGTGGCACGACAGGGACGCGACACCGATGACAAGGAGCCGCGTAGGCAACGACCCGCTAATTTCCTCGCCAAATCGTCACGCACGGCTTGCGTCTGGGAAGCAATTCCGCAGATTCTTGCCTGCGAGGAATGTCGCCTTTGATCGTCTCTCGCGAATGTCACTCTAACAAGAAGCGACGGATGCGGCGGATAACTCTGCAACGGCGTATCCGCGCGGGTCCGACCTTTTAATGCCGCCGGGATAAGCCCTTTGAAACGTCGCTCTGCTCACGCCATGCCAGTTCGATACGAAGGAAACGACATTTGTCACAAGTCACCGGAAGCACGGCAATACTGATCATCGCCTGACGACGACGACGTTCGACGGGTGGAAATAGTGCTCCTGTAACAAAGTTATCGCGCAGTTGCGTGCATAAAATGAAGAAACGTGCCTTATCGCGACAGGTCTTGTACATCCAAAAGTGATTTTCCGAAATGTCATATTGTTAGAAAAATGATCGTATGAAGAGTAAAGGCATTGAAAAAGAATCTACATCTATGTACGCAATTTTTTTAAATTAATAGATTATATGTAATATATCATGTAACAGGATGATCTATGTCTTCACCCTCTATGCTCGCGTCTATACTTCGGCACACGTCGAAACGGCGAACGCGCGATTCGACATTTTCGGCAATGTCGAGCATCGGGCACTCAGTTAATCGGTACATTTCGGTCCTGGCGTTGATAATGTGGCCGTACGCGAGACTGGCAACGAGGGCGACATTACCGTCGCATCCCCACGTCGGACAGGGCCGAGGGTATCAATCAGTGGTACATGAAAGGGGCGCGGTTCGGGCCACGTCTGTCCTCCGATCTCGTATTGTCTGCCGAGGACAGATAGACAGCGCGCCAGCACGTCGACATTCCGACGTATCTCTGTCCGATGACGCTTCTGTTACTGAAAGTGTCACGCTACTTTGTTCTAGTATCTGCCGTATAAGTACCTTCTCGATGTACGGTGATGCTATTGTGCCACTTGCAGCTTTGTTGGTTTACAACTAGGTGAGAGAACGGAACGACAAAAGATTGCACATTTGCGTGTTTCGTTACATAACGCCGTATCTTGTTGTCAGGCATTGAAATAACGAGAAATGTAACCAGATAACTCGCACAGCATTTAACGAATAATTTACATTTAGACTATTTGTAATAATGGCGCGAAATCTATTCAATTGAGAGCGTAAAAAAAAACGCTAGAATTACGTGTAATAATAATAAAATGTTATGAAAAAAAGTAATTTTTTTTCCACGGTTGAAGTTTTTCTCCAAGAAAAGTAATATTTTTTCCCCGAACGTAAAACAAAAGGCCCGCGTTCATTCTTATAGTAAGTGAAGGAAGAATGGCTGGCGAAGCGTGGACCTTTCTCCTTCGAGGCGGACCCCCTCGAAAATACCCCGAGTGTACCCCAAAGACAAAGGGTTTTTCCGCACGGCTGTCTCACTTTTTCGCGACTCACGCAGTCGCTCGCAAAAAGCCATTGTTTGCGCGTACGATGACTATGTCTGCAAAAGTCACCATAGGGGAAGGCAGAGAAAGAACTATTTCGCGAAAAAGGATGTGACGTTGTCCCTTTGACTTTACTGGCACTTTGCTCGGAAATGGCAACCCCACTGACGCATGTCACCTCTTTCCTCTCCATCGTATTTATACTCTTCTACATGAACAATTTGTAAGATTACGTAAACATCTTTCTTGTTTTTTGTCTAAAGATATACACTATGAAAATTAAAAGAGCATATATTTTTAACCTTTTACAAAATTTTCTGATGAAGATTTATATTTAATTATTAATGAATTTGATGAATAATTGTTTCAGTAATTATTACAAAATTTGCGCAAAATATTATTTAGAAACATTGATCAATATTTACTTTTTGTTGAAAACACAAAGTTTGCTTTGTAAGAAACACGGTTGCAAATCACCTGATTAAAAAATCAACAGGCGAATAAGTTTTACGAAGAAGAAAGAAGTTGGCACATCGAGTCTTCGAACTTTGGAAAACTTTTATCAAGACTGTAACTATAAAGCAGCAATGTTCCTCATCGCTTTCTCTCCGCGTTTGCGAAACCGACACGAATGGAAACAATTGCACAACCAAGAGGAAGGAAAACTAGTAAGAGCTTTTTACTTCGAGCGATCATATTCGGTCATTTGGCCGACAAGGGTGGAATATCCCTGATTCATTCCTTTCTGCGTCGCTCCTTTCACGATATATTCAGTACATCGTAACTCTTATTCCATTGAATTCGAAAAGGGATCATAAAATCGAGCTTCAGCCTGAGCTACCAATGATAGAATTTATGTCGTCGAGGAAGTCGCCTCGTTTCCGTTAATCTCGATGATGTAGATGCCAGATGATCATCCAAGCACTTAATGTGTACCATGCGTGCAAAAGATATCTTGAAGAGACATTATTATAAAGGCAAGATATATAGGTATACAAAGAGACATTTTATCTAAATAAATATAATCAACAATTTTTCTTAAACTCAAAAAAGTATCAATCTAAAATTTGTCATATCATGTGCTTTAAATGCATATTCCACGAGGTGCCGAGTAATTATTTTCTTCAGCATTTCTCTCATCCGATTCTCTCGAGGTAACGAAGACACATTCAAAAATGAATATTAAGGTTCCCAGTCGCGCCATAAAAGAAAACCCCAAACGATCCATAAACCAGCTTTCAACCGGATGAGGAAAGCCGCCGCACAGCTCGTTACCTCTGAAACAAAAAGAGTTCGCCGACGAGCCGCAAACTGGGCCGATATCCTCGCACGAAAAGTCGGAAAAGTGTACGTTGGCGAACAATGAAGTCGTCTGGCCGAATGTGCGCGGACAGGCTCTCAGCCCAGCTGACGGTACACGAACGGGATCTCCGTAGCTCATCCTGGCAGGTACTTTTATCTTCGCGACGGGCGCGAGAATGTACTCGCGAGGTATCCGGTGGCAACGCATCCGGTGAGTCGGGGAACGAAGTGGCTGCTGACGAGAGACGAGGAAAACAAGGAAGAGATAGAGCAGGAGAGAGAACCTATTCGTCGGCCAGTGGTGGGTTTCGGTCCCGGCGTTATCTGTAGAGAGGAGGGCGTCGACATTTAAAATGCAGATTAGAGTACGGGCGCAAACGCAGACGTAAACGTAAGAGCGTCGGGTAGCAAGTGTTTTATTGGGGCCAGCTTCCGTTTCTGCCTTCCCGGGTCTGGGTAGACGACGCAGCGCGGCGCGATGCCTCGGCGCAGATAAAGTCACAGACCCCGAGCTTTAACCGCCCGCTAATTTATTGATCCCTGATTTATTTGACGCGGCCGGCCGCCGCAGCTTTAATTGCCCGCGAAGCGAATTTGACGAATTTTAATAGGACACGAGAGAGCTGCTGCCGATGACTTCTCGACCGTCGCTCTTTCACGCGTGATGAATTTCGAAACGGGAGGAGAGACTGCGTCTTCGTTTTACAAATGCGCGTGTCGGAAAAGTTTTGGCAGAGCGCTCTATATCATTGCGACCAGCGAAATGGAAATGTCGATTTGATCTGTTTAAAGATTACTTGTCTGACGAATTGTTTCCCCACGCGTTGCAAAATGTCGATAATGTCGATAATACTGCGAAAGATTTTTTTTGCATCACGCATCACTTCCTTTACAATTTTTTTTTTATCGACTATTATCATATTTAAATTTGATTTATTTACTTAACTTTTTGTATCTTGCATTGAATATAATTTTATTTAATTCGTTTGTATATACAAGCGTTCAACTAGTTTATTAATCAAACATTTTTGCATAATATCGGATCATGTAGAAGATATATAATCTCTCGCAGAGATGCATAATTTTTGTTAAAAAAATTTTTGCGAGATGGATTAACCGCGAGATGATATTCTGCTTGTAGACATTTCTGCTTCCTCTATCCGTGAAACGATTCGATCGATTAAAAGATAGCTCTCACTCGATAGACTGCCCTTTGGTGAGCAATTACGAACAGTTCGAGACCGGCAATTGGAATTAAAATACATGAAATTAATCGACTAGCTGGGCAAGACTCGGAGAGCGTAACGCGATTTACATATCTGTACAAGCTTGTTTGACTTTAAGTACTGCGGTAAGATCGATTCGCCGTCCGAGCAGCACGCGACTACGAGCAATCGTGTCGGGAACTCGATGAAAGTTTACACAAGCAATTGGCACGGGAAG